AGGTAGAACACCCTGTACTTGTCTACATTGGAAACCATCAGGATTTGGTCCACCCACCTTGCAAGTGTGTACAGGTCAGCTTGTATCCCCAGTCTGTCCTCCAGTGTGACCATCTTCCCACATAGTTTAGTGTCATCTGTAAACTTTGCCAGTCCGCTTCTGATGCCCAAATCCGGATCATTAATGAAGATATTGAAAAGTACTGGCCCAAGTACTAAGACCTGAAGGACACCACTGGTCACCTTGTGCCATGTTGATTTGCTCCCTAATATTCTTTGGGTCCGACCCCACAACCAGTTCTCCAGCCATTGGACTGTGAGATGGTCAAGGCTACAGTTCCCCAGCTTAACCATAAGGACATCATAGGAGACCAAGTCAAAGGCTTTCTTGAAATCCAGGTATATGACATCAACCTCATCTCCCTTGTCCAGGCAATATGTCACATGGTCATAGAAGAAAATGAGGTTAATTGGGCAAGACCTTTCAGTAACACAGCCATGTTGGCTGGATCTCAGAAGGTTGCCTTCCATTAGCCTGTTGCTGATGGATCCCTTGATGATTTTCTCCAGGATCTTTCCAGAGATGGATGTCTGACTGATTGGCCTGTAATTTACTGGATCTTCCTTCCTTTCTTTCTCGAAGATTAAGATGACATTGGCTTTTTTCCAGTCTTCTGGTACCCCTCCCAAGTGCCCCGAGTTCTCAAATATCTTTGCCATTTGGTGTGCTATGATGTCCTCAGGCAAATTTGAGTGGTACATCCCTGGACTCTCATATGTTGTGTAGGAAGTTTTGGTGCCTAATTCGTGACTTCAGAGTCCATTGAGGTTAGAATTAAATACTGACAAACTGCATTGAAACCCCTAAGAGCCTCTGAGGATCTTATCCCAAAGTAACCAAGTTCTCTTCTCTTCTCCCGTGGGAAGTTGTGACCCACAGTTTAAGAACTCCTGCCTTAACCCTTTTTTAAAGATTTCAGAAATTCAGGAAATTTGTTCCAAAGCATAATAATAATTCTACAAGTATAACAAGTGATCTCCCTTAGTGTAATACCAGCTTTACTAATACTCTTTTTTGTTTCTCAATCACTGCTGTACTACACAAGCCTGAATCTTCTTCCCATTGTGAAATGTGTCAGAATATGTGTCTGTTTGATTAACAGTATCAGTCTTATGTCTTATCTTTCTGCAGTTGGACATATTACATTTTGAGGATGTAGGGGAATTGAGTTACAGATGTTCTATGTAACCCCATAAAGATTAATGCACACTGATGAATCACTGACTGTAGGAGCTCCCACTGGACAACAGGATGAAGAAGGTAGGATACTTTGTTATCTGTGGCTATGAGATTATGTTCTAGTTGCACACAATGTGCTATGAAGTAAAGCCATTTAACACTGAAAGGAGTTACTTGCAGAGACGGTGAAGATGAAATACCCAAAAGAAAAAAAAGATCTGGTCAAAATGAAGCACTCTGAACTCCTTCCTTATGAAAAGCAATTATGTAATCTAGTGGACAGTAGGGATTAGCACATAGCAGGTACTCTAACCTGAACAACACTGAGTAAATTGTGTGTTTAGTAAGTTGTGTGTCAAGGGCAACCAGCATGGTTTCATTAGGGGAAGGTCATATCAGACCAACCTGATTGCCTTCTGTGATCAGGTCACAAAAGCATTGGATGCAGGTGTTGCAGTGGATGTAATCTTTCTGGACTTCAGCAAGGCCTTTGACACTATCTCCCATGCCATTCTCATTAAAAAACTGGGTGACTGTGGCACTGATGCCTACACAGTCAGATGTACTGCAAATTGGCTTAAGGGTCGTACTTAGAGGGTATTGGTGGATCGGTCTTTTTCGACCTGGAGGGAAGTGGGCAGTGGAGTGCCCCAGGGCTCGGTCCTTGGGCCAGCACTGTTCAATTTCTTTTTTAGTGACTTGGACGACAGGGTGAAAAGCAGCCTGTTTAAATTTGCTGATGATACGAAGATTTGGGGTGACATGAGCACGCTAGTAGGGAAAGACAGATTACAGCAGGACCTGGATAGGTTACAGGGGTGGGCTAATGAAACTAGGGTGGGTTTCAATACTGACAAGTGCAGAGTGCTGTACTTAGGCAGTAGGAACTGGCAGCACACTTATAAGTTGGGAAACTCTCTTCTCAAGAGCACAGTGGCAGAAAGAGATCTTGGAGTCATTATTGACTCCAAGATGAACATGGGCTGACAATGTGAGGTCACAGTCAGTAGGGCTAACCGTACCTTGTCGTGCATCCACAGATGCATCTCAAGCAGGGCCAAGGAGGTGATCCTCCCCCTCTATGAGACACTGGTCTGGCCGCAGCTGGAGTACTGCGTCCAGTTCTGGGTGCCGCACTTCAGGAGGGATATGGACAACATGGAGAGGGTCCAGAGGAGGACCACTCACCTGATCAGGGGGCAGCAGGGCAGGCCCTATGAAGAGAGGCTACAAGACCTTAACCTGTTTAGCCTTCACAAGAGAAGGCTGAGGGGGGACCTGGTGGCTGTCTATAAACTCACTAGGGGGGACCAGCAAGGTTTGGGAGATACTTTGCTCCTCCTAGCACCCCCCCGGGTAACACAGAATAATGACCGCAAGTTGTTAGAGAGTAGGTTTAGACTAGATATCCGAAGGCACTACTTCACAGTCAGGGCAGCTAGGATTTGGAACCAACTTCCAAGGGAAGTGGTGCTGGCTCTTACCCTGGGGGTCTTTAAGAGGAGGCTTGACATCTATCTGGCTGGGTTCATTTGAGCTTTCTCTTCTGCCCAGGGCAGGGGGTCAGACTTGATGTTCTGCAAGGTCCCTTCCGACCCTACTTCTATGAATCTATGAATCTATACAGACTGTCAGTGGCCTGCATCTTTTTACAAAAGCAACAGGGTGTGTCTACATGATAAGCTTTATTACACAGAGGACTAATATACAGTGCAGTAAAGCATCACTGTGTAACCATGTGGTAGGCTACTGTGCAGTAAAATAGGCTAATGTGCAGTTATCTACTACTTGACTATAGAGGTAGTAGATTAACTGTGCATTAGCAACTGTGTAGTAGGGCATGTGTAGATGCTGGTCAGGAGGGGACCCACTGCTGCTTGGCTAAGCCCCATGTGGTGCAAGCTGTGCTGGCTGCAGGGACAACTGTTTCCCTGCCATATGGGGATTGGGACCATCCTGATCCCCACATAGCTGGGAGGTGGCAGCCAGAACTGCTCCACCTCAGCCAGGTGGGGATCAGGTATCATCTACATGTGGCAGGGAGAGGTGTCCCTGCCTAGTGGGGACACTGCCTGACAGCCATATGGGAATCAGGACCCTTCCAATTCCCACATGGCTGCCAGGCAGCATCCACACTAGGAGGGGATGCTTCTTCCGGCTAGGTTAGAGTACCTGCTATGTGCTAATCCCTACTGTCCACTAGATTACATAATTGCCTTTCACCAGCCCCCTGTCCCTTGCCAACCTGGGGCCGGCACCTGGGGAAGCCTGGAATGCCCCCTGGCTGCTGAAACAGGGCAGAGCAAGGCAGGTGGGCAAAACATCCTGGGTCTTACCTGCTCCAGTTGGGAGCAAATTTGCTTCCAAGCTGGTGCACATGTAGACCCTTTTCTTTTTTAAAGCTCAGTAATTTTACTGGGCATTAATAGCACATGTAGACAGACCTAGAATGTCACTGTGTTATATATTTCTTCCTTATTTGTTTTGTGACATTTGGTGGGTAAATATGGAGCAAGGATAGGAAAAAGTAAATAATATATTGATTTGTTACATTATTTCTCTTGGCTGTCAGATCATCTTTCTTGCTGTCTTATTTCCTCATGAGAAGAGACTACGGCAGGGTTATATTTTCAGATTCTTGTAGTCTTTTAAGGATTTTCCCCCCTTTCCAGTACAGTGTTTAGGAAAGGGGAAAAATAGAGCATAAAGATCTTTTAATGAAGAAAAATCTTCCCTCAAAACATAGGGCCATTTGGGATAGTCTACTGCATTGTCAAACATAACAATCGGATGTTAAATTGTGATTCCTCCTAACTCCACTATTACCTGTCTGTAAATTGAAAAATCTATTTTTTTTTAAAGTCAGCTATAGTAACATATAATGACAAAAGTTTCCAGTCTAAAATAAAAGGTATTCTCAGGAGCCTTACAGATTCTGTGTTATGTCCCATAGTAAACAAAGAAGGGGGGTGAGGGGAGAGGGGTACAGGTGAGGCTTCAAGAGTAGCCAGGATTTTCTGGCATGTTCAGTACTACTGCCATATCTCCCTTCTGTTAGACCTCCTACAAGAAAAGTGAAGAGATACCACAGGTCATGTAGGAAGAATGTACGCAGTTTATACACTTGTCCAGCTAATTATTCTAACTACAGCACTTATGCAGTGTCATAGCATACATGGGCTATGATTGACACGTAGAAGTTTACAATGTCTAGTGTTATAGTATTTCTAAAAGTGCCAGACTCATTTCAGTATGGTAGAAAGTGAGATTTGCTCTAATGGAGATAGGCTGTTACTAATAGCCTACTTTAATTTTTCTGTGTTTCATCTCTAAATGCACTTTCATATTTGTCTAAGTCCTTGAAACTGGAAAAAACAAGTTTTTTTCCATGTAGGTGCACTGCAATTACTAGTTGGAAATATGCATTCACTGCTACTGTCTCGGAGATAACACTAAATGTAAAGCATAAGCAAGATCATCTAAAAATACGACAGAAAGTTGCTTAAAATAAGTTCAAATTTTCTTTTAACATGTGGTACATTGAGATGAGAACTCGTACAAGTACCTTAGGCTCAGAAATAGATAAGGTAGTGTAACGTTACCGTTACTAAGATGCCATGAGAACAGTCATCCATTTTCATTATGCCATAATGTTACAGGGTTTGAAAACATTGGTTGGCTGAGGCAATGCTGCCCTGTCAAGATGAAATTATGTTCAAAGTACCCAAAGGAGGAATATAGATTTAGAGGAAATTCAGGATAACAGACCTAACTCATTCTCTAGTGTCAGTTCTCCTTCCAGCTTCAAAGCTTCTAGCTTTACTGGACACTTTCACCAAATTGCATACAAACAGAATGGAAAATGACAGACTGAAGTATTCCTACTATTCTCACTCAAGTGAAAACTTGAAGATTCTCCCCACTGCAGGTTCATATTTACTCAGCTACATTAGAAGAGCAAATTTAGAGATTGGAAAAGTTGGAAAAACCGAGGCATTCATAAAATGCCACTTTACTCATTGTTCCTGTTCAGGACCAGAGATGATGATCCGTATTTAAAAGTGTGTGAAGAGTCTCCCTAGCTCCCCATATGTAGTCACTGGAACACAGGAATTGCTTCTATTTTGTTTTTGTAACTTTTCATATTACCACATATGGGAGAGAGATGTCAGACTTTTTCTGTTCCTTCATGCTTTGGCCTTTTATATGGACTGAGATCATGCAAGGAAGCATAACTCACTACACATGAGCACCTGAGAAAGGCTCATGCATTTCTGAAGGTGATGCCTTTTCAAAAGATGCCAACAGCACTAATACCTACTAATGGATGTTAAGAATAATCCAGCACTACATTTGCATTTGTAAAGGGTCTGTGTAAAACTAGAACCTGTTTGTTTGCAAATTATCCAGTTTTTACACTGCACAACTGATTTGCATATGCAAATATTTGATTTGTGGACATAGTGGTGTGTATCAATAAATCACTCTTGAATATGTTACTACTACACCTTTGTGCTGATTCACAGAGGATATATGCCTTTTTAGAGGTTCCTGGTGCTTTAAGTTTAATGTTAAACTCTAGATGTTCCTAGTTCAGTCACTGGTGGCTTGACTAGAATGACGTGTCACAAAAGCATTTCTGAATAGGATTTTGAAAATGAGGTCTATAACATTTAATGGGTATATGCCGTACTGTGAAAGTTTGTGTGGTATCACATGGTTTATGCTGAAATAAAACTACATACAAATACCACTTTTCACTTCCCAAGCATTTGTATGAACAAAATTAAAAAAATATATAAGCATATTGGCCCAGGGCAAAATAACATGAGCTGATACAGTTTCTGTAATGAACACCAAAAAATTCTGCCTTCCATGTGGATCAAGAAAAACAATTAAGCATGTGCATAATTTTAGTGTGTATATATTCCTATTGAATTTATTTCAAGGCTCAAAGTTATTGCTGAGCTTAAGTGTTCAGCTGGATCAGAGTCTACCTTTTGAATTCCCACTGGAAATGCCTGCATCTGTGTTTAAGTAAATTTCCACCTGTAAAAAACTGCATCTCAATTTTTCAAAGAATTTGAATCAAGCATGAAGCATTTTTCTAGGATACATGCAAGTAATTTTTTTTCCAACAGTAAAAGAATCTAAGTAAAATATCTTGAAGCTAATAGTCTTTTAAATACCCTCTGCCTTCAGAAAGTGATTAGGAACAGGAAGATTTTACATTTTAGTTTTGCTAACACAATCAAGAAATTATGTCAATAGAGATTATCTCTCTTCTTTTATAACATGGTACGTAACAGCTCAAAGCACAAGTGAGACTGTGATATATGCTCCACATTGGAGTCCTAGAGATCTACAGCCCAGTTCAGCTAAACTAGTAATGTAAAGTGATTATAATAACTACTACCCACTTGTACTGTGTCTTATAATTAATTACCTGTTCTCATGGGCATCCAGGATCACACATTATACACTGAGATTCAGGCAGCATTTTTAATCTTCTTATGCAAACTTTGGTTTCTTTGTGCATTTGCTTGAAGGGGTAGCCCAGAAGATCTTCCTGTTTCCTTAGCATTTACCACTTATAAGCTCCTGCTAAGTCTGTGACACAAAGCACAATGCACCTTAAGCCTCTGATACTACTTGACTGTGTATGAGTCCTCAAGCACAATCTCTCACTCTTGGTCCCTAACTGGTACATTGCATTGGAATTTCTTGTCTTGCCACCTCTTTACCTTCAAAAATGCAGGTGAGAAACACATGGAGAATGATAAAAGCCCTACAAGAGGGAGCTCTTGTTTTCTCTCTCTTTCTTTGCTTCACTTTCTGCATCTAGAAATTCATAATTGTATTTATTCACCTATTTTCTGAGGAACTATAATTCTTCATTAAGAAACATTTGCAGAGTGCTTTGATTTCCTTGTAAAGAAAGTCCTGTAGAACTAAAAGTAATACTGTTTTCACAGGATACAGACAGACACTATATTTGTTACACATCTAAAGAATAAACATTTTGTTCCATGGCAAACTGTGAGCACACAGATGTACATGGCTGCTGACCCACAGAAGATCTGGCCCAAGTGTCCTGGAAAAAATATGCCAGGAAAGGAAAAAAAAAAAATTTTTTTTTCCAGAACATCACAATAGAGATCGATACATTTGTCACTGCACAGCAAAAAACAGGGCAGCTGGTCTGCTAGACATCTTACAGTAACCCACTCCTGCTGCCTCTTCTGCTATTCTTGAACTTGGGACAGCTGCTTTTCCACTTGGGGAGGCACTTTATTGTCTGGAGGTGACAACTCACAAGTACTCTTACCCATCTATTTATTATCCACTGTGATGCCTTGCCAACCCTATCATGCTTACTAACTATGTACTTTAGGATATATTTTTACCAATTACTTCCACTCGTACCTTCAAGCACAGCACCAGCTGGAATCACTAGGAATGAAGTGTTAGTGCACATACAGCAATCAGGTGGTCTTCAAGTGAATTTGCCAGAGAAATGGCAGCCTGTGGTTACAATCCTGACTGCCAGCAATAC